TATTTCTTACAGATCTGGAGGGTGGGAAGCCCATGATCAAGGCAGCAGCAGACTTGGCGTCTGGGGAGGGATTGCTCTCTGGTTCATAGGTGGCTCCTGTCCTCACACGGTGGAAGGGACTCGCTAGCTCTGTGGCTTCTTTTTGACCGGCAAAAATCTCATTCATGACAGTGGATTCCTCATGTCCTAACCACCTCGGAAGGGCCCACTTCCTAATATTAACACATTGAGAATTAGGTTTCATTGTATAAAGATTGGAGGGATGCAAACACTCAGACCATAGCACCATCCAAGTCAAGAAGGAGGGCAGGTGCCAGCACCCCAAAGCCCCTTTCCACTCCTCCCAACTGCTGCCTCTCCCTTCTCGCTTGTCTTTATACTTCTATGACCTAAGCCTGCACCCACTCCAAAAGGCTATTGTGAACTTTATAGGCGTGGAATCGAACATTTGGCATCTGTTTGTGTCTAGCGGTTTTCACTTAACGTTTACTCAACATTCATCCACAAACATTTTCCCTGTGGTGTGGTATTGACAGAACACAATTTTGTCATTCTACTGTCAGTGGACATGTGGGTTGTTTCTAGTGTTTGTAATTACGAATAGTGCTGCTATGAACATTTGTGTCCATGTTTCTTGGCCCATATATGCATGCTTTTCTGTTGGATAAATAACCATGCTAGTTTCCTAGGACTACCATAGCCAAATACCACTACCAAGGTGACTTCAAACAATGGAAGCTGATTCTCTCGAAGTTCTGGATGGCGGAGGTCAGAAGTCAGGGTGTCAGGAGGGCTCTGTTCCCTCTGAGACTCTGGGTAGCATCCTTGCTTCTACCTAACTCCTTTCTGCGCCTCCATTTTCCCATGGCATTATTCTCTTGGATCTTCACATTATCTTATGAGAAAACTAGTCAAATGAGATGAAAGGCTTACTCTACTCTAGTGAGACCCCCATCTTAGTTGATTACACCTGCAGCCACTCTGTCCCTAAAGAAGACCACATTCTGTACTGGGGTTTAGGACTTCAACCTTTTGGGGGGACTTTAACCCGTAACAATAACTAAGAGGAATTGTCGAGTTATTTTAGCAGATCCTGAGAAAGGATTGGGTGCAGATCATTTGCGCTGTGGTGGCAGGAAGCGCGGCTGAGGGTAGGGCCGGGACTAGGCTCTCCCGAGGTACATGAGTTGAGTGGGGGCAAAATTTAGAGGATTCACTCCCAGGGCTGTGCCCTTGTTCTTGACTCATCTCATCATCGTCCCAGCTCTGAGGGAGGGAGCAGGCAAAATGTGACAAGGAAGAGAGACATTCCAATTGAGTTTCCTTCATTATGACTGTGGGTGACTTGGGGTTCAGTCCCACGGGAGGTCCTCTAAGGTGCCTTGCAGAAGGCGTTTCCCATGCCTCCCACTTGTCTCACAGAAGGATGGGAAAGCTGGGCATAGGCTAACCTGGGGCACTAAGTTGCGAGTCCTTGTGGGCTGGACACACTTCTGCAGCACTGGAGAAAGGTCCCAGGTAGAGAAGCAGAGACGCAGGTGCTCGAGATGGGACACCGTAAGCACACCAGGAGTTGTCCACTGCAAGTTTGAGTGACGTCAGGCTGAAGGGGTACAGTTTAAGGAATTATTGATGTCTGCTACAACCCATCTGCTATACCCCAGACACGTGTATTTCAGCTGTTGGGCATTCAACAACAAATTATGCCAGGTACCGTGGCTCATACCTGTAACCTCAGCATTTTGGGAGGCTGAGGCTGGAGGACCACTTGAGGCCAGGAGTTTGACACTAGCCAGGGCAACATAGTGTTGCCATCTCTACACAAATATTTTTTTAAAATTAGCTGGGGCCAGGCGTGGTGGCTGACACCTGTAATCCCAGTAATCTGGGAGGCTGAGGCAGGTGGGTCACTTGAGGCCAGTCGTTCGAGACTAGACTGGCCAATATGGTGAAACCCCATCTCTACTAAAAATACAAAAAATTAGCTAGGTGTGGTGGCATGCACCTGTCATCCCAGCTACTCGGGAGGCTGAGGCAAGAGAATCTCTTGAACATGGGAGGTGGAGGCTGCAGTGAGCCAAGATGGCGCAACTGCACTCTGGTCTGGGAGACAGAGCAAGACTCAGTCTCAAAAACAAACAAAAATTAGCTGGGTTTGGTGGTGTTTGTCTGTGGTCCCAGCTACTCAGGAGGCTGGGGCAGGAGGATCGTTTGAGCCTAGGAGGTGGAAGCTGCCGTGAGCTATAATCACTTCACTGCACTCAAGCCTGGTGAGAGAGCAGACCCAGTGTCAAAAACAAAAACCACCAACCAACCAATCATGGTTGACGGTTGAACATTTATACTGTTTCCTAAATGACAGTGCTCCAACACAAAATGCCCTTCCTGAGCTGGTGCCTTAGTTACACTAACCTTTCGGAGGACGGTCCAACCTTCAGCTTTGGAGTAAAAACCAGTGGATCCGATTGTCATGTGTTCTTTGTTACACTTTCTTCACCTCTGAGACATTATTCGTGATTCCGCATAGCAAAGCAAGTGCGTGTTGGGTTTATTTCTGGGACGTCTATCCTGTTCTTTTTAACTATTTGTCAATTCTTGTATCAATACCACATGGCCTTCATGACCTTTATAATAAGCCTTGATTTCTGGTAGAAAAATTTCTCTCTTCTTGTTCTTCTTCATTGGCTATGCCTTACCGGTTGCATTTCCATGTAAGTTTTAGAATCATTTTGTCAATTCCATAAAAAACCTGTTGGATTTTGAAATGAAATTGCATCAGATCTATAGTCCATCTTGCAGGGATTGACATGTGTATTCTAACTCATAAGCATAATATTTTCCTACTTTTATTTGGGGTTTAATTTCTCTCAACAATGTTTAATAGATTTCTGTATAGAAGTTTTGCACATCTTATATTGCATTTATTCTGCGTATTTGATATTTTTGCTCTTAAATTGGTATTCTTAAAATTTTAAAACTTCTGGCTGCATGTAGATGTTCAGCTGATTTTTGTGCACTGTCTTTGAAAACTTAGTAACCTTACTATTTCTAGTAACTTATCTGTGAATTGTTGCATAATCTAAGTACAAAGTGTTATCTATGAATAAAAACTGTTGAATTTCTTCCTTTTCCAATCCTCATGATTTATTTTTCTTGTTTCTCTGTATTGACTAGGATCTCTACCACAATATTCAGTAGTGGTTTTAGACATCTTTATCTATTTCTTAATCTGCAAGCAAAACCATTCAACATCTTACCATTAAATATGATGCTTATAATCTTGCTTTTAAATATTTTTTCAGTGCAAACTTTAAGACACGCTGACTATAGCTCTTTGGGAAACCCTGAAGCACAGTACCCAACAAGACATGCCTGAACCCCTGATCCACAGAAACTGTTGGAAAATGTCAAACTTGCGACTGCTACACAGCAACAAGCAGCCAATGCAGAAGGGATGTACAATCCTCCATCAAAGTCCAACCTAAGCTGGTTGTAGCTCAGTGTAACAGAATGAGAATGGGTTTTGAACCAATATACCAAGAATTCCATTCCTACTATGTATTAAGTAATTTACTCAGCCTCAGTTTTCTCACCTGTAAAATGGAGACAATTTTCCGTAGTCTAGTACCGAGTATGTATGTAAATGCACAGCTCCTGTCCTTCTCCCACCCCCACTTTTTTTTTTTTTTTTTTGAGACAGAGTCTCGCTCTGTCACCCAGGCTGGAGTGCAGTGGTGCCATCTTGACTCACTGCAACCTCCACCTCCCGGGTTCAAGCGATTGTTGTGCCTCGGCCTCCTGAGTAGCTGGGACTATAGGCACGTGCCATCACACCCAGCTAACTTTTTGCATTTTTAGTAGAGATGGGGTTTTGCCACGTTGCCCAGGCTGATCTTTAACTCCTGAGCTCAGGCAATCCACCTGCCTTGGCCTCCCAAAGTGTTGGAATTATAGGCGTGAGCCACCATACCCGGTCCTTCCCTTCTCTTTAAAAGCCGTCTGTCCACCATGCCCTTTATGTATGCTGATCATACTTCCTAGGTAACATCAGAATATATCATGGAGCAATGGGATAGAATGTTGGACATGGAAAATCTTGGAATTTAGGACATGTAGTTGTCAAACCATTGTACCACCTCCTTCATTGTTTTGACAGGAATTAAAACTGCCTATGCTAAATATCTGGATTCTTTCCCTCCTCCCTTGTTAGGCCACTGTTGTATGTTAAGAGTTAAACATTTCATGTCATGAGCAGTTGAGCCAGCCATGTGGGATCAATTTCACTGTGAACCCACAGGGCTCCAAGCCATGCCTTTTTTGTTGTTGCTATTAAAAGTGAATGCAAAGATATAATATCATCTCCCACTGCCTATGTCTGCTATAGATGTGAGCTGCAATTTGGCAGGAGGCCCCCAAGATGAGAAGGCAGCCTGGCAAGGCATGACTGTCAGAAGACGGGGCCGAAACTACAACTCCTTGGCTATAGGTTCCTTGGCAAGTCATTCTCTCTGTTTTCTCACTTGTAAAATGGGATTAAGAATACCTGTCTGGCATCATTTTACATTATATTGAGTATTTGGGAAAGCATTTGGAAATTAGTAGGTATTCAATACATTTTAAAAAAACCCTTTTCATGTCAAGGTGTCGAGTTGGGGGGCGGGCTGGACACTGATGTTGCTTCCCACTCAATATGTGGTCCATGCACCAGAGCACTGGCATTGTCTAGGAGTTTGTGAGAAACTGAGGATCCACCAGATCCCTGGAGATTCAAGTCTGAAGGGATCTGAAATTCTACAGTTCTGACAAGCTCCACAGAAGTGGCAAAAAGACCTGAGAAACCGAGAAGAGTTGGGATATGAATGGCATACTGGCCAAGATTAGTTTGCAAAAGTTTCAGGTTTTCTCTGGGTTTGCTGCATCCAGATAAGACTGACCTGCTCTTAGCATGAAATTAAACTCCTGTGAGGACTTGCTCTAGCACAGACAAGCCAAACCACTAATCTGAATAAATAAGCATCAATTTTATTGAATCATGAATAATTTAAGACTGGTACAATCATCAGCTTTATTCTCTATGACATGGGGCATGATGTCCGGTGGATCATTGGCAAATCCAAAAACCTCATGACAAATGAAAATTAAATAGGAAGGGAGAGAGCGAGAGAGGAGGGGAGGAAGGCGGGGAGGGAGGATGGAAACATACCGTACACAAAATACTCAGTTACTAGTTTTCTCTTTAAAAATGGCTAGAAAAAATTCATCAAAATGCAGCACTTTAATCAATTATTTACAATTTCTATGTTACAATGAAAAAATGTACATCTTATAGAACATATTTCATAAATTGCTCCACTGGAAACTAGATCAAAACAGCAAACCTTCCATTCAGTATCCACAAAGTTGGATTATCTTTCCTTTTTGAAGTAGATTCGTCACAATCAAATTTGAATACAGAGAATTTTGAAGTGTAAGCATCAAACAACAAAGTAAAAGTCCCCAAGATACAACGAAGGTCTAGGCAAGTCTTGTTCCTGTCCCACTCCCACCCCACCCCCAACGAATCTTAAAACGTATTCCCATCTCATGTATGGCCTGTATCATTCTTGGCAGTTTGGGAAGAGAGCGTTTGGCTTCCATTGGTAACTCAACATAAATGTTGCATAGAATTTATACATTTCAAAATTGGCCTAACTGTAGAAAAAGGCAAAATGGAAGCATTTCCGATAGAGCCCTAAATGAGTACAAAGTCACTTTATCCAAGGTGAGTGACACTAAAGTAAAAATATGACCAAAATAAGAAATGTGCATATTAGACAACCCTGCTTCCCGAAGCTTTAGGAAGGACACGGAGTTGTGAATCACACAAGGGCTATGCTACTTGAAGTCAATGTTCACCAATCAGGCAGCACCAGGTACAGAAATCTTGGATCTGAACCTGGACCCAGTGGGAGGGAAGTCTGTGGGACAGGGGAGAAAAGAATGAACGACAAGAGAGGATGTCATATTAAAAAGGTTCCAAACAATATTGGCAGGTGTCTACTCACAAGGTGATTGGAAAACTGCCCACGAGGAGACGTCAACTTGACCTCCTCCTAAATTCACAGTATGAGAATATAGCGTCATTGCTGGGAGATAAATGGTCTGAGGAGGGCCACCCTTCAGGGTTACCAGAAGTCTCAGGGTTTGGCCCCCTGGTCACAGGCTAAATATATGGTTTGAAAGTCTTATTAAGAACAAAAAGAGAACAAGACACACTCACACCCAGATGACTGATGAGGGCTAAGCAGAATAGCCTGAGTTTGCTGAGATTAAAGCAGGGATAGTGTTGAAAGGTTTTCCTTTCATCAGTTAGTGGGACACATTCCCCTTTTCTTTTCAAAGAGGAAGAACATGGTGTCACCCAATGTGAAGTGAGCAGTTTTGGGTCGAACTCTTATGGTAAGAAACTAAGAAAAGATGCCAAGAGACAAGCCTTCAGAAATAGAAATGCAAAAGATGGAATAAAAACCCTGATCATTAAAACAGAGACACCCTTACTGGTGTCCAATAAAGATTCTCTTTATAAAACAGAAACAAACAACTCAAAAATTGTCCGTACTTTGTAATGAAAATACCACTATGTTGAAGACACAGCAGACTGGGTTTCTATTGGAGCAAGTATCAGCAAGGTCACGTAGGCTTGTAGAAACTTTGCCTTCTCCTGCACGAGACAGATCACTGTCCAGTCAGGTTGTCAGCTGGAGACTTATAAGAACCTAAAAAAAAAAAGGATCTTTTTTTTTTTTCTTTTTCCCATGGTCACGCATCCACACAAATGAGTCTTTTGGATGAGAAAAGTCACAGCAACTTGAGTTCTCCTAATGAATAGATGACTTTTTAGCCCTGTTTGCTTCAGTGGGGAAAACAACAACAACAAAAAACAAACCCCAGGCAGGCACGACACTTATGTAAAATGAACACAGTTAGTACAAAACCAGTAAGGCATCACTTTGGGAAGGTCAGCACCGAAGAGGTCAGGCAAGGCTCATCCAGACGGGGCTTCTGGGAGGGGTGACCCCTCTCACCCTTGTGGAGCTGCGTCATGTTGGTTCTGAGGAAAGTGCAAGTTTTTTGCAGGGTGACCTCATCACCCCACTGGAAGCTGGGGCGGGGACGCTTGAGGTGTAGGTGTGTGTTCTAAACCCTCAAGGACGAGAAGGGAAGACAAGGTCCATGGCTCACCCACATGTCGAGGACCAGGTCCTCATCCATTTTAAAGGGCACAGATGCCCCCAGCCCTAGCAGGAGGCGGCAAGGGTTTAGGACTGTGAGGATGGACAACTAAAAACCAAAACTGAGCAGGACCAAACCAAAACTCAGCTCCTGTGGTTCTTACTCTCACCAAAGGATTGATTCTGACCAAGAGGGGAAGGAGAAAAAAAATCTTCAAAAAAATCAATGCATCAGAAAGGGAGAAACTCAACCTCATTTTCAAAAGGTAATCAGTTCTCCAAAGTAGAACAAGTCTCACTATACACAGTGTTTGCAGAAAAAAAAAACCTGATTCATTCATATATCAGAAGGAAACAGACACATGCTGTTCTGTGTCGAACATCTACTCGCTCACATTCTTTCTCCTTCACTCACTCTCACAGATTAATCAGAGGCTGATGGACCTGAATGGGGGAGGTTGGACTGGAATAGGCAAAATACCTCTCGGGTAAGGAAAGCACCATTTAAAAAACATGAAAGCACGGTTTATTTTCTCCTAAGGTTTCCCATGTTGGAGCTCTGCAGTGTGTTGAACGCCATCAAAGCAAGCACCCTAGTTAGCACCAGTTCTCCCTGTGGCCGGCTGCGTGGGAGGGCGGGTGGCATGGCTCTGAGACCCTGTCTGGAGGGTCTGTGCTGAGGGGAGGCGGTGCTTCTCTGTGTTTCCAACTTTGCTCCAGTCTCTTCTGTCTCTGGGAAGCTCCGGGCAGGATGCTGTTTGGTTTCAGAGCTTCATGTGGGTTCTATTCTTTTTTTTTTTTCTCTTTTCATTTCAACGGCGACAATCCTTTCCCGAGAAGTATCTTCAGTGTCTTAGGGAGGTCACAGCAACAAGGCAAAACAATAATTAAAGTACAACAGAAGGTAGTGCAGTTCTCGCTGTAGAAGGAAGCGGTCCGTGGGCAGCTGACCTGGGATGCCTGCACCCAGGTCGAGGCTGAAGGACGACGGGTCTTGGTGTTCCCGCAGCTCTAAGGCTGCGGCTGGGGGCTGGCTCAGGAAGTCATTTTCAGGATGATGTGGGGGATGCAGGTGGAATGGGGCGAGGAGAAGAGGAGGGCGCTGGGCTCCACAGCCGGGCCCCTGTCACAGAGTGGACTCCAAAGAGGAGTCCAAGATGTCATCGTGATGGCTGTTGCTGTTGGAGTCGCTGTCATAGCTCTGGGGGCTGGAGTAGTTGGCTGCCTCCTGAAGCCTCATCAGCATGTTCATCTAGGGGAAGAATGGAGAAGCATGAGCTGCTTTCTGTCTAGTTGGGTGCCCACCCTGGCCTCCTAGAAGGTCGTGCCACCTCCTCCGGACTCACCTGAGATAGTATCTCACAGTGGAGATGACAGACAAGAACATGGACTTTGGGCCAGGCTTCCAGGGTTCAAATCCCACTTCACCAATTACTAGCTGCATGACTTTGGACACTTAACCTCTTTATACTTGTTTCTTTACTGGTCCAATGTGAATGATAATAGTACCTGCCCTATAATGTTACGGTGTTGATTGAATCAATCTATGTAGAGCACTGAAAACAAAATGATGCTCTCTAGAAAAATTCTGTTTATTTTTTATTTAGGAGGGCACACCTTTCAGGCATAGCCCTCAGCCTGCATGAAGATGAGACTGAGCGTCTCTGCTCCTGGAACACAGGCGTCAGCATCACTGACATCTGAAGCACATAGACCCCATCCCACTTCGACAAGCATCAAACCCATCTCTTCACCTGGCTCTGGCCAGGTCAGACTGGAGCCAACTGTGCTCCAGCTCCTACGGAAGCCATGGCAGGCAGGTGAGGGGAAGCACCAGTTATAAGCAGAGCCTCTGACTGCAGGGAGCCCTGGCTTATGATTCAGGAATCTCTGGGCAAGTTACCTAAGGTATCTGAGCCACCAGTTTGTCATCTGTGGAATGGGGAGAATGGCAACACTTCTCATAGGGTTGAAGTAGGGAATAGAACAATACAATGTGTATTAAACCCTTAGAAGAGGGGCTGGCCTGGCATATAGTAAGTGCTTAATAAATGTCATCTGTTGTCATCATCGTCTAACTTAAAGACAAGGGTTTAGAGACAGCGTTCTTGAATCTGCCCTTGTTTACATTCTATGAGTCATTTATTTGGGAGTGGGGAGAGGGAATAAAAACTAGTTTCATTTATAACTATAAATTGTGTGCATGTATTTTATATTTTATATAGCCAATAAGTCAGGAAGACGAGGCCTCTCTGAGCTAAGGTCAGGATGTGGTGCAGCTGGGCATGTAGCCAGCTGCCCCTAGGGATGCTTTGCAGAGTCTACCCAGATGAGCCAGGTTGCGGAAGCACCATCATGTGATGTCCATCTGCACAGCCATAACCAGGGAAGAGGCAGAGCTGAAGCATGATGGACAATCCTCGGCAACTGAGGTTACTTATTCACTCATTAAACACTCCCAGTATGTCCACAGTATATGGTTCTGGAATAAAAACAAGTAAATCCTGTCCTCACAAAGGTCTCAGTCTCATGAGTGAGAAGGATTAACACTTAAGAGAGCTATCATAAAAGAGACACACGGCCCTGGGCAGAAAGAGCAGAACTGGGGAGAAATACCAGGTATCTAACTTGGTAATAGAAGTGGCTGGACTGCACAGTTGCTCACTTCTGGGGGCCTGGAGTTGGAAGGAGAATTCTGTTTCCAGAATTCCAAGAATCTTGGGTCTTACTATGAACCTTCTGTGACCAACCAGTGATACAAATGCTACTGGCTCAGAAAAGATTGTTTAGGGATAGGCTGGCCATTCTTTCCTCTTGATACACGAAATTCTATTTTCTATGTAAGACCTCATGAGTTTGCCCCCGCAAAAAATACCTCCATGACCTTGGCTTTTAGCAATGGTTACTGTTGCAAATGGCTGTTTAAAGAATGCTTCTTTCCTCTGTAAGACCACTGTTATAAATATTGCAAACTAGGTTGTGCATGGCAACACAAACAATAAATCCTCCAAAAATGCAGTTCCCACTACAATCTTCAACAGAACCACAGCTGCATTCCACCAAACAGCAGGATGGCAGGCAACCTGAATCACCAATTTTTTTTTTTCATCTAAGGAATTAATTAGCTGCTAGGAATAGAACAGCACATCAGTTGTCTTCTAATCCTGCTACATCTCTTATAAATATTTTCTTTCATTAGGTAATGCAAATAACATTCTCTGTCATGTTTTCTTTTTGCCATGCCTGCCAAAAAAGCTTGGGGCTAAATTTAAGGCCTGATAATAGCCCTTTAACCATGGGAGGTTTTGGTATATTTGCTTCCTCTTTGTTTGATAGGACTTTTGATTTGTTAGGTCTAATTTAGCAGTATGACTCTGTATGGGTCTTACACTGGTAGAACACTACAATTAATAAGAAATGCTATTGTTATTGGCCTGGGTGTTTCTTTTGTTTGTTTGTTTGAGACAAGATCTGGTTCTATCAACCAGGTTGGAGTGCAGTGGCACAATCTTGGCTCACTGTAAACTCTGCCTCCCGGCTCAAGCCGTCCTCCCACCTCAGCCTCCTGAGTAGCTGGGACTATAGGCGCATGACACCATGCCCAGTTAATGTTTGTATTTTTTTGTAGAGAAGAGGTTATGTTACTTTGCCCAGGCTGGTTTCAAATTTGTGAGCTCAAGCAATCCACCCACCTCGGCCACCAAAAGTGCTGGGACTACAGCCACAAGCCACCACACCCAGCACAGGTGCTTCTTAAACGACCTTTATTGTTTTAGCAACAGCCAAATAAATAAGAAGCTTAAACAGTGTTAAGGACTTGGCCCATCTCAATGGCCATGGGACTCATATTCGGGCCCCCTCCCCTCTGTGAGTCCCTCCTGCCCTCAAACCTCTCCCTGCCTACCTTCCTGATCATTTGACTTAGGTTTCTGGTCCTTAGCAACCTCTTCCTCTGCTGTGTTATTGGTGGGAGGGATCGAAGTAATAGGATAGTAGGTAATAGGGGTGGCATCCCAAACTAGAGGGCAAAGAGTTGTGTAGAGACAGTAGGTATAAGAACATTTAAGGGAGGAAAAATCAATTCTTAACCTTTTATCTAGTATCAGAAAACATTTCTGAGAAAAAGTCTTTAGTGAAAAACCAAAACCATGGAAGAAAATATTGGCAAAAATGGCCCTAATCTTGGGGCCATATTCCAAATGGCCCAGTCATTTGGGTCCAGCCTTCCAAAGCAAGGCAGGGCCTAGTCACCTTTGTATTTCCAGAGGCTCTGCATGCTACCCAACACACAGTAAGCGCTCAGTGAATGCTGAGCTGCTCTGGTGTCTGAGGACTCACCAGCGGGTCACCTTCAGCATCACTGGGGGGCACCTGCTTGCTTGTCGATCCCTCCCGAGGCATGGAGTAGCCGTCGAAGCCGACATCCTCAGGCCGTAACTGCAGCAGGGGAGGCCACTCATGCTGTTGTGGGCTGGCTGCCCATGGATATGTGTCCATCACCCACTTGGCAGGATCCTCCCAGGGGGCACGCCTTCCATAGAGCTGAAAACAGGCAAAGAAAGAACAGTCTGGAAGTGGCCAAGATCTCTTTTGCAGCCCCAGTTTTGCAGCTTTCTGAACAACTCCCTAAACTCAGCATCATGCATTCCCCGAAGGAGTAATTCCACTTCTAGAATTCCATCCTCAGGAAGTCATCCAACATGCAGACAGCTCGAGGTGCTAAGGCTGAAGGCAGCATGATCCAGTGGTCAAGAGTACAGGCTTTGGAGTCAGGCTGATCTGGGTTTATGCCTCAGTTCTACCACTGACTCACTGTGCCACCCTAAACTCTGAGGCTTTGTAATCCAATTTGAAAAACTGGCTCTGGGGGAAAAAAAGCAATGACCTGATTTGAAGCATTTGCTGACTTCCCTGGTATACTCCCACCATGACTGATTTCAAACTACTGACATGCTGTCACTGGATGTGGAGTTAGAAAGAGGTGCTATCAGCTCTCAAAAGCCAGCTCTAGTCCTCCATTGGGCACACCTACCCAAAGAATACCTCCTACTTGGGTGCTTGGCACCAACACTGCAGGCAGAGGTCACAATGGCCCTGGCTCAATGTTTGTTCTTATTTTGTAAGAAGACAAGATTTTGCTATGTTGCTCAGGCTGGATTACACTGGCATGATCACACTCACTGTGGTCTCAATCTCCTGGGCTCAAGTGATCCTCCTGCCTCAGCCTCCCAAGTAGCTGAGACTACTTGTGTGCCACCAGTCTGGCTAATTAAAAAAAAAAAAAAATTAAGAGATGGGATCTTCCTAGGTTGCCCAGGCTGGTCTCAAACTCCTGGGCCCAAACAATCCTCGTGCCTAGGCCTCCCACAGTTCTGGGATTATAGGTGTGAGCCACTGTGCTGGGCCAGTCCTGGCTCAGTAAAACCCCATTTCTTGAAATGGGTCTGATTCTCACAGCCCCTATCTAGAAGCGCTGTTCTTTTCAAAACAGCAAATTGCTAACAGAAGTTGCACATAGGTAGCGAAATTATGAGAGCTTCTCCCTTGTCATGTATTTCTCAAAATTCCGTAATCACTAATTGGCTCTTAAAACCGTAAACTATGTTATCACTTAATTTTATACTAAGATCAACACCGTGCCTCCAAGCTCCTTTTCTTAAGCCTCAATTATCTAATGGCAAACTGATCTTATTGACAATTGCTAGCAATTTCAAGAAATACATACATTCTTATTTTTTTCTGAGATGGAGTTTTGCTCTCTCGCCTGGCTGGAGTGCAGTGGCGTGATCTCGGCTCACTGCAACCTCCACCTCCCAGGTTCAAGTAATTCTCCTGCCTCAGCCTCCAAGTAGCTGAGACTACAGGCGCATGCCACCATGCCCAGCTAATTTTTGTATTTTGAGTAGAGACAGGGTTTCACCATGTTAGCCAGGATGGTCTCGATCTTGACCTTGTGATCTGCCTGCCTCAGCCTCCCAAAGTGCTGGGATTACAGGTGTGAGCCACCTCGCCCAGCCAATACATACATTCTTTAAAGAACAGGAACCTAGGCTGGGCCCCCTTCCCAAGGTGAGGCTTTGTATATTACACAGGTAGGTATAGGCTTTATGTCTTTCTCCTTTAACGCCACCACATCTTCCAGCTGACTGTGTGCCAGGTACCATGAGAAATGCTTCACAAATATCTTGCTTGACCACCATGCAACTCCAAGAGGAAGTACTACTACCCGTGATTTACAGATGAGGAGACAGGCCCAGGGAGGAGAGAAGCCAGATTGGAAACTAAGTGTGTCCGATTCTACGGCCCACTAGTTTGGCCCACTTGGTCCCTTGGGACACAGAGACTAAAGAGTCCTATGGGCCACCACAGCTGTGCGTGTCTCTAGGGTGCCTACGGCTGTCTGTCTGTCTGCTCCCCCTGCCCTCCTGGGAATCCTGCGGTAGACAGGGTACAGAGAGCAAGGTGCTGACAGCAGTGGAGAGCTGAGCTCTCAACCAACAAAACCATGTCTTTCCGAGGGGGCGGAGCTGAGGCCACCTAGCCCCACCCCCTCATTTACTAGATGGGGCAATCAAGGCCTAAAGAGCAGGGCCAGTTGAGAAAGGTTATCAGGTAGAGCCGATTTTGAACCTAGAACCTCAGCTTCCTTTGCCAGGCCTCTTTGCTCTCCACCCCTCCTGACTGACACCACCTTGAACAACTCTATCAGTTAGAGCCACATGACTCAGCCAGACCCAGAGAAGGCAGACGCGGAACAGGCTGTTGGCCAGATATCAGCGTGTCAGCCTGCTGGGCTCATTGTCCCCTCCAGAGGTGCCCATGCTCCCATGACAGTCTGTGCCACCTGGGACCTCTTGGTATGATTTCCGTCAGAGAAGCTGCCCACCCTGCCCCTTCTCAGATGGGCCCATCTCTCTGCATTTGTGGCTATCACCCCCTCTGCTTAACACATGCAGCCTCCTATGACTCACTGACTTCCCAGACACCAGTACTCCTCCCGTCTCACGCTCTGGCTCAGTCTGGTGCTAAGTCTTCCTCAACCGGGGGCAGGAGTGAATCTCAGGCCTAGGAGCTCAGTCTGGCATTTGAAAGGCAACTATCATGTGAGCAGGAAGGAATCATGTGAGACGCACGTGTTTGTGTGTACGTGGGTATGTGTTTCAGGGCAGAAGAGAGTACAAAATTGGGATGTTTGAAGCGAAAGAAGGCTGCTCCAGATTAGAAACATTTGTGCAGTTTTTAGAAGTTTCTCCTGAGGTCTTTCCCTGTGGAACTGGGCTGCATTTCCCAAGCCAGACTTCACATGAGGCGGAACCAAACCCTCATGGCTACTGTTTCTGTGACAGCTACTGCTTCTGTCTCCACCCTATAGCCTGGATGAGGAAATGCTCAGGGCTGCAGAATTACGGAGGCTAGAACTCTTGGAGCTGAACACGTCCTCAGAGATTATCTGGCACCATGCTTTTCAGACATTTGCTCTTCATTTCTGCCCTCAACTGAGTAGATTGGGGAACATTTGGGCTTCATAGAAACAAGCCTGAATAAACACTCTTCTTGTCCACACTTGTCAATTTATAGATGGGGAACCCAAGGCCAAGAGACAGGAGGCCTGTCCAGAGTCTCGGAGCAGGCTGGCTAATCTGATAAATGACCCCACACTCATCCCCCACTGTTCCCATTCCCTGCAGGCACCAGGCCTGCCATGGGCACAGAGAGAGGTCTTCTGAGTTACCCTGTAGACTTTAGACACTTTGGTAAGTGTTTCCAATGACAGCTCTGAAGGGGAGCAGGACTGAGGACTGAGTCATAAGACAAACGCATATTAGATAGATGCTAACATCATCTGTAAGAACAGAAAATATTTTTACAAGCCTCCTCAACTGTCACTGAACATGTTCCAAGTCTGAGTGATGAGTGGCTGGGTAAGTACCGTGGCAAGCAAAGGAAGCATCATAAAGCTCCTCAGCTCCACCGCAGGCCCCGAGGGCAGCAGCAGAGACAGCTAGACAGACAGACACGGAGGGAAGAACATTGACTTTCCCCAAGGCAGGGGTAAGAACCTGGTATCCCCACTGGGTCAGGAAAAATGGGAACAGGACAACAGGGAGCTGAGACATTGAAAACTACAACATGGACCACTGTGAGCCTTCCGACTGTGGGATGCAGGGGGCTCTGGGAGCGTGTGCACGTCACAGAAGGATGCATCGGCTACACATTCAGGAAGCTCCTCCAAGAGGTTCCACGTGTGCATCTGCACGTACACACACTTGCAATGCAGCCTTTCGTTCACTAGAGGGCGACATCATGTTTCCTCCTGGCATGGGTGTGCCTGTGGGAGGGGCTGCCTGGAAGCCATCCTCATCCCAATGACAGCAGGTCTCCTTATGTTCCCATCAAATCCGTGCTACCATAAGCAGCCCTCCTTCCCGCTCCTGGTACACCGCAGTCCCATCAGAACTCATTCTAGGGACTTCACCTCTTAGCCTAGAACCTGGGCCAAAGGATGACTCACTCTGAACTGCCATGTGCTCACTTCACAGCCACTTACCCAGGTTAGGTGAGGAGCAGGTGACCCTAGGGTAGGCATGGACTTAAAGTAACATGAAAAAGAGGAGGGAATTTTAATATTTTTTTTAAATAAAGGAATCATTTTGCCACATGAAATCATAGAGAGAACTCCACTCTATAAAATTCAGTATTTGGTTCCCCAAGCCACCTGAGGCTTCTCAGTGGAGTGATGGGGGTCCCTAGGACAGTCTGAAAATAATAGAAGTAGCCGAGGGGCCAGCTAATCCTGGGTGCCAATACTCACTCCACCATACCTTGCTGAGTGGACTTGGAAAGGGGCAAGAACGTCTGTGAGCCTCAGTTTCCTCATCTGTGAGAGACTCACTGGGCTGTCAGAATTAAATGAAATCATGCATGTGGGGCCCCTAATGGTGACTGGCAAGTAGCAGGCCTTCAAAAAACATCAGCAAACGTTCCTCCAAAACGGGAGGTGTGAAGAACACAGTAAGCTTCCCCGGGAATCTGTAGTGTATATGGTCTCCTGGGGTCATCAGGATGGTGAGGTCACAGGTTTGGGGCACAGTAACTCACTTTTGAGCCACTTAGCAGGATGCAAACTCTGGCTGCCTCCCTTTGCTGCTCTGCACTCTTAAAAGTCCGACCTTCAAATGACCTTGAAGCACAAAGCAGTGACAACATTTCCTGCCTCACACTGAACTGGTGAGTCTTGAGATGGGAGCATGTCTTTACTCCCTGCCCAGACGGCTGGGGCCTCACTTCCTCATGGTGGGAAGAATACCCAATGCTCCTCTACAATCAACTCTATCAGCAACCTCTCCTAGGTGGGAAGGGAAGTTCCTTCCCAGCCATGCCCAGATAGCTTTCTTTTAGGTTTAGGTCCAAAGGAGCAGGGCCCTGGCACTGCCAACCACTGGTAACCAATGAGGGGTTTTCTCAAGTGCAGCTCAAGGCTGGAGCACAGACAGGCTCCCGCTTCCCCGTTAATGCCTCCCAGGGTAGGGGAGGCCTTTATTCAGCAGAGCCCATGAGTTCTTCCCAGTGACTCTGAGGTTCACTCCCCTTCCTATACCAGAAGACCACACTTGGAGTAACTAGAAAGCAAATGGCAGAAGGAGAGGTGGAATGGGGGAAACAGTCCACCTCCTCTGCCTGCAATTTTCTTTGCTCTTCTAAAGGAGCTTGGGTTTCCCAGAGGTGCTGGGCATATCACACTCTCTGGAAGCCACCAATGAGAACAGAAGAGAGAGGCTTCTGAAACAAGAGAGACTGCAAGAATCCAGCAGGTAGGAGATGCTTCTACCGGCCCCAGTATAGGAATGACTGGGTGGCTGTTTGTATCTGCGGTACTAACAAACCCATTTGATTAAGGACTAAATTATGGTCAATTTGCCCAGGCCAGTAACTTCACCTACCTAAGGAGATTCCACTGCAAAGATCTAAAATCATTCATACCTTCTTGCATGAAAGCAACAGTTGACAGAGCACTGCTAACTAATGATTTTTGGCTGGCCAAAGATTGCCTAATTTCTTGCTCTTTTCTGGTTTCATAATACACTTGTATTTCAATATGCTGCCTTGAATTTGTGACACATATGCTCCAGTTTAATGAAATGCATCACAAGAGGCAAAATATTTTGAAGTTCCCTTTGTCCTGAATGCCTCTGAAGACCATCACTGCTGCTATAAATAATAGATAGAAAATAGCGGAATATTACCCAGTTCAGCCCAATACACAGAAACGACAAACATTGACTGTATCCATTAACTTGCACTGTCACACACGTGTCTGTGGGTGCACACCGGTCCCTGCACCCTCCATAGGCCTACGATAGCATCTTGCGTCTCCCACTGTCCAGTGCCAAGGAAACAAAGCAGCTCTTGGAAACCTGGCTACCAAACTGGTTTCTGGGTTATTCAGCCACACATGATGTCTGCTAATTATTCACTGTGAGTGTTAAAAGCCTACAGAACTTCTTAGGCTGCCTCCAGGCTCAACAATAAAACTATCCCAAGTTCTAAATTAATGGCAAGCTTCTACACCCTGGGTTAAGTGAGAAGTAAAGAATTTGTGCTTTCTGGGCAGGGCGTAGTGGCTCATACCTATAATCCCAGTAGTTTGGGAGGCTGAGGTGGGTGGATAGCTTGAGGCCAGGAATTCAAGACCAGCCTGGCCAACATGGTAAAACCCAAAAAAAAAAAAAAAAAAAAAAAAAAAAAAAAAAAGCCAGGTGTGGTAGTGTATGTCTGTAATTCCAGCTACTTGGGAGGCTGAGGCATAAGAACTGCTTGAACCCAGGAGGTGGAGGTTGCAGTGAGCCAAGATTGCACCACTGCACTCCAGTCTGGGTGACAGAAAAAAAAAAAAAAAAAAAAGAGGATGTTTTCAGAACTCTTGATGCACCTCTAGCTCTATCCCTTTCTTCAGAAATAACCACAAACTTGACTTTGGGCTAATATTTCTGTTGCATTTCTTTCTATTTTTACTGCACATATTAAAATTATTATGGGAAAAATCACTTCTCTATGTTTCAGTGCACTCATCTGTACACTGGGAATAAGAATAATACCTCATAGAGTTGTTATAAGGATTAAACGAGTGCAATTAATATGTACAATGTTCAGACTAGTGCCTGGCCTAGGGTAAGTACTACATAATAATTGGTTATTTTTATTAAGTCCTAAACAATATATTATTTGTTTTGCCTGTTTTTAAGCTTTATATAAATGAAATTATACGTACATATTCTTCTGTGATCTGCTTTTTTGGTTCAGTACTGCGTATGAGGGATTTATTTCTTCTCATGTATGTGAACAGTTCTTCATTTTTACTGCTTTGTGGAATTCTTTGTAAAAATATACCCCAATTTATCCATCTTATACTTGATAGATATATTTTTAAAATTTCTTGCTTTTATGAACTGTGCTGCTATGCAAAGTCTTATACACACTTCCTAGTGTCCATGTGCTATAGTTTCTCTAGGTAATATACCTTGGGGTGGAATCGCAAGATCATATAATATGGACATTCTCTATCTTCTGTGACTCTTAATCTTTCTTTTACATTTTCCAATTCTTTGTCTCCCTATGGTGCATTCTGTAATTTCTTCAAAACCGCTATAGCAGAGGGAGTCAGTGCTTTGTCTGTATGTATCCCTCTGTATATACCACATCAGTGTATCTGCCTAGCTTTTAACTGCTAACATCTGGATTTCTTTGCTCTGGTTTTCAGAGCCCACTTTGCCACACCTGTGAAGGTCAGAAGTGCCTGGCAATTAATGGTTTAGCAGGAACAGCCCCCAGTCAATGACTGATGGGTGAATAAATGCAGCAGCTCAGGGGGGACAACCATGAGGTATGTGTTTTAGATGGACTTCTAGAGTGCCTCCAGTGCTATTTAGCTCCAGTTTTCCAGAGTGGTAAAAAGCTAAGTAACACCTTAATTGGCTACTTTGCCTTCTCTGTGCCATTTACTCACTTCTTCACTGGTGTTTCTTTCCCCTTCCAAATTAACTACTTGCATTCAAATCTTTGCCTCTCAGAGATGCCTTTAAGAGGAACTCTGAGATATCCGTATATCTGTCTTCCAGTTCACTAATTCTTTCTTTAGCTGGGTCTAATATACTGTTTAACTTGTCATGAAGCTTCTAATTTCAATTATTTTATTTGCATTTCTGGAATTTGTTTGATTTCTTAATACATTTGCTTGGTCACTTTCCATAGTCCCTGATTCTTTACCCATCTTTTAATTTATCTCTATATTTTTAAAAACAATACTACGCATTCTTATGTTTTTTTTTTTTTTTATAGTCTCTCTTTGATAATTCCAACATCTGTTGTCTTTGCCATTCTGATTCTGTGGTTTGTTGTTTCTG